TTCCACTCAGCATCCAAATGATAGAAGACTTCCCAATGGCATTCAACCTCCCTATATCACCAGCATTTGGCATTTTCACAGCCACTATACAAGATCCCAGTATCACAGATAATAAAATGATCATTTTTCACCTCAAAAGAGATGCTTATGATGGCATAACGACATTTCAAGTTACCATGTTGGTCTTATGTAAATATGACCCAAAAGGACACCACACGAATATTGCGGAAGCTACCAAATGCCAGCCAATAATCTCAGTTACCAGGAAATTGGTTACATTAAAAAAATCAGTATGTGTAGCCTGCGAGATTATTGAGTAGAGTTATCCAGCCAAGGGTCCTCCAAATCTGTTGGGGATGCTCCCACATCGAAGAACAGAAAGACTAGACACGAGAAACTGGAAAAATTGGCCGAAAAACTCGACTCTCCCAACAAAACAACCAGAAAGAGTAAACAACCCTATAGTGATAGTGCTCAAGAGGAAAGCTCTTCCTGAGCAAAAAGATTAAGAACTGCAGCAACTAATATTAATAAAGGTAATAAAATAAACTAATCTAAAATCTATTAAAAAAAAATCTTATAGTATCGCTAAAATTGTCAATGACATTAATTATCTTCACCAATTAAGTAATATGTATATTATTATTTCTATTCCAAAGCGCTTAATAATATATTATTACCTAATTAGTAAAGCGTCAACAGTAATAATCGCATCATTATCTCTTTTAGTTAATATGCAGTTTAGTATAGTAAAGGGTTAAAACAATAACCTATATTTAAAACTAACAAAATTCTTGCTTTTATACTCAAATTGTTAATTAAATGCAACCAAGAAAAAACTGCAATACTACAATATTTACATAGTTTTTCTTGAGTATCACACAATTTATTACACTTATATTAACCATGTTAAAGAATCTAGGATATGAAAATGCGAAAGCCAATCCTCTCTCCAGACCCGAAAATGCAGAAGCTGATGCTGACCCAGGACCCAAAAACACAGTATTCGAAACCCAGAATAGCACTACAGAACAATCTTTAAACGATGGTCAAGATGACCAGAGCATTTGCGAAGTAATTTCTAGTAATCAGGAAGACAATGAGACATCTGACAATACACACTTACCTTAAATCTATGCAAATAGATTTACTACAGAAAACAATTTTTATACTAATTTTTTCCTCAATTCAATTGTTTCCTTTTCTCATTATTTTTTTTTTAAATTTTTCCCCTTTTAATTTTTTCCTCATTTTATTGATTTCTTTAATATAATTTCTCCTGTACTATTATTAATAAAACTTAGTAAAAATGTTTGTACTACCTCCTTAATCAACATTGAAAAAAAAAATATAAATAAAAACAAAAAATGATGTAAACACTAGCTAATAAATTACGCGTAAGTTGCCATTTCAATTTCACGCTATTTGAGACCCGAATTGCAAGATTACTCGATAATTAGGCCAAAAAAGATAAAAAAAAATACTAAAATTAAAAAAAAAATAAAAAAGAATTATACTAGTGTACAAATATATTACTATAACATATAAACCTTCGATCATGAAAAGAAACTCGAATTACATTATTCATCGATATTCTATCCACGAATATGAAAGCAATGTCCCATCAAACTCAATTGAAATAAATCAAAACTGACAAGATACCACCGTTTTCCAATCTTATATTTATTGTAATAAAATAAATCAGATTGGCATAACTAAACTCACACCTATATTACAACTTAGCGCACCTATAATCCCATCTATAACTTTCCTACTATAGACACCATCATCCATATTAAAAAAACTTCTTCATGGATTCGAAACAAAAATATTGTATGATCATCCCCATATTCTATGCTGCTACTGTTCAATTTTAATGTTCCGTTCTGTGACCCAATAGATAACATATAATCCAGACGAGGACTATACTCTAACTATAGTATTTCACAACATTCTCCTTAAGCTATGTCACTTTACCAACAAACCCACCAAAGTAGCTATCTGCAATAGCTGTAAAAAACCAAAAACTAGAAAGTTTACACCAGGTCTACCCAATATACCTAATGAAATAAGTTTAGTACCAATATATCACAGAAAATATCTTTCCCTGATTCATATGACATGTTCATTAGGCCGCACTCTACGATCAAATCCATATACAACATATTGATTTTTACAAGGCGATTTTTTTTTAAATAAAAATAGTCATTTGCTTGACCTTTATTCAAGAATAATTGTTGCTATTTTAAGCACTAATGAACTATCACGATGGTACATGATACACTTCCTACTGCTAGTATTTGGTTAAAAAGAAACAATCCTATATTTTGACAATACATAAACATACCTAGTGTTAACTCATCTTCACCATTAGATCCATCACCAGTCCTTTACTTTTAGCGTGTCAGTCTCAAGAAAACTCCAACAATACCCCAATAAGAAACGTATCTTATATCCCAGACATCGTAATTCCTAATAACACATTTTCTTCAGAAATACACGACGAAGACCAAAGATATAAAAGACTCATGGCTAGATTCATGAAATTGGACAATTTAACTTTACCTATATCTTACAGCGATCCTGACCTAGAAGCAATGATTTTCACCAATTTATTTCTAACTGAAAAAGGTTACTATAAAAATATACAAGAACAATTAGACCTTTAATCAAACAACAAGAGCTATGGAAAATATATTAAACTAAGAATGCTCTGCCCTGACTCAAGATTCAGATTGCATTGGTATTAGCCGCATTGGTCCTACTTAAATCTTGAAAAAAA